TATGGGCATAGTTATGTCAGCCTGATGGATCTAATGATTATGGGTAAGTGATGTATATTAGTGTAATCATGCTCCATATGTCATAGAAAAGCACCTAAACCAGGGGTGTCAAACTCGCAACGTCACGTGACGTGTTGCAATGTATCGCAACTCTTTTTCCATTGCTGGCAATGGGTGGGCGCGGTTTCAGTATGACGCATCCGGCCTGGAGGCCGGCAATTTGATACCCGTGCTCTAAACTATATCATTAGTGGTTACTAACCATCTGTGGGTGGAGTTTTCATATAATATAACAGAGTTTTAATACATTTAGAGAAGTAAAGTTATTATGAAAATATGGTAATTAAAATAAATAAAATTTATCAGTATTTAAGAAATTTGGACAAATGAGGGGTAACCAGACCCTAAAGTTCCTGTTAGAATGGCAGTCAAGGAGGACATGGGCTGTATTTTATATGGCACCTGTGCCATAGGGCAGTGCTGTGCTTCAAAAGTATTTCTATATTTCCCCTCCTACAATGCTTTGTGATGGACATTGAACTAGCTCTAAATTAGGGAATTGAAATGTTGTAGATAAGAAGCTGGTTTAGAATCTAAAATATGATTTTTCAAAGTGAATATATCCTGTAGAAGAACAGCAATCTGGGCTTAGTGATAAGATAGCATCACTGGAAATCCCATAATAATTCAATTTCATTAGTGTTATTTTTTCCCATGAGGATATTAAGATGTCTGCCAAAATTAAAAGGACCAATCCAAATGGTTATGGACTACTTTTAGCCAAGTAAATGGGGGAAGACAGTTCTTAAAAATTGCATAGGATAGCCTTGTTGCTATTCAGTCGTGAGTCAAATAACGTGATTGAAGCAGGTATAAACTCTGTATGTTAGGCAAAATTAATAAGTTTAAATTGCTGAAGCTGATTTCTATGCAATTAAGCCACAGAATCCAGATGAACATTTTGACTGCCAGAGGCTAGTAAAATTACTATTTAAATATCTTGACCTACTTGATGGTATATCCACCTAACTGCCAGATTCACTGTTTTGGGTAATGAGATACATGGATCTTGTCTTGGCAAAGTCTGTTATTAATTTTTCCTTATTGCAATTGCAAAAGAGTGATCTCAACACTCTTTTAACTGATTTAACTGATCCTCTTTTAAGGATCAAAGGCAAAATTACTGCTTCATTAGTGTTTAATAAACCACTGATGCTCCTGTGGGCTAGCATTGAAAGGTGAAAAGCAAATGAGGTACCAGAGCATTTATTTAATAATTAAATAAAACTGGGCCAATATACATTCTTGTCTAACTCTTCTCCTTTAGCTAAATATATTTTTATTTTTGAAACAAATTTATTTCAGTCCAAGAACAGCATAAAAATGTTTCAAACTATAGGTTTTTAATCCCCCAGAGATGTTAACACTAATGCAGCTCCCTGACATTGTAAAAGGAAAAATAAACTACTTTTTAAAAATAAACCAGAGTCATAGCAATTTATGTATACAGCCTATCAAGAAAGTAGATAAAAGATTAATTGCATAGAGCTGTAAAATAATTATAAAAGAGATGTAGAATATACATTGTGAATAGTATTAATATTAAATGATGTACTAATCTTATACAAGTCAATAACTAGTAGTAGATAAGTAGTAGAATATAATAAAAATATATGCTATTTAAAAAGAGAGTACTGTTGAAAATAAAAAATACATAATTGTTGTATATAAACAGCCTACAATACTTAGCACTAAGACCAAATCACAGATAATACAATGGAAATGTTTTTCTATTCTGTTGCATTCCGATTTTTCAGAGTATCTCTCAAGTATTCTTGTTGCAGTAACTGCTGATGGTGTTTCTTTCTGCTTCCATTCATAACTATATGAAAACTAGAGACTGCTCTATAACACTAATCTGCTGATTGTTTATTTGCTCTGTTTGTGTGAGGTTTCTCTGGAGAGAAGAACATTTTTTCGAAGTCCAGCCATCTCATGAGAATAGGCAGACATGTGGAAATGCTTCTCAATGCAGACACAGCTTGAGACAATTTGCTGTGCAATGCTTACTTCTTTCCTACTCTTGACTATGTTTCTAATGTTAGGGCCTTCCTTCTGTCATTTTCCAGAGGAGGGGGTGCTGTAAGTTTGTGTGACCTTAGCACTAAATATAACTGTAGGAATTACTTTTCATAATGATGTCAACTGATTAGGTTAGCAGGTTGATGGCAGCTACAATAAGACATGACATGCTCTAATGACTTATTTTAGCAGGGACACAGAAGCAGCATGGAGGAAGATACAGGAAAGACAGAGGGTCCACAGGTGCTGACAAAGATTTTAACCTTTGTTGCTATAATATCAGTATTTCACAGGCCAGGCGGTTTGGTAACCCACTTCCAGACCATCAAAAATTGATTTAATTGCAATTTTCCCCCCAATTCAAAGTATTGAAGCTTGACTAATTGGAGTAATAGAGAGTAATAAGGCTCTGATTTAAAAAAAGCTTTCCTTTGCCTCCTTTTGTATCTTGTGTCATTGCCTGTCAGAGGTCATGGAGCCTGCATATTCTATGAGACTGAGTTGCCTTCATTTGGACAAATTAGTTTACCCAACAGTAATTAAGATGCCAATGTGTGTTGGGAAAAGCTGAATGCAGTTGATGGGCACATTGGTGAAGGATCTGACAGCTTTGGTGGTTGCTCTCGCACTAACGTGTTGGTGCAGACTCAAAGGCTGCATAAGTTTACGACTGTGTGGATAATACAGTTCTGTGGTTGGAAGAGGCTCTCTTGTCAGCATGCTCTGTCCCTCTGTTTCTTTTTTGACACTTAGGTTCATTCCTTCCCCATATCTAAACTCTTTATCCAAACAAGATGTTGTTAACCTACTTTGTCATATACCAGATCTGTTCCTAAGAAATAGCTTTCTCTTGCGTCAGTGATTCTTTATATACAGTAGTTTTCAGAATGGGACAATTAGAACTAATTTAAAATATATGCAGATGAGAGCAAGGACTCAGATTAAAACCTGCATGTGTAATCCAGATACTATATACTGGATTAGTAGTCCAGTATGTAAAAAGTTCTCAGATAAAATTATTGACTTATGATGAGACAAAAATTAAATATTTTTTAAAAAGATATAAGGAGAACCTTAGATTTTATCTACTCCAACCTGCTACTCAGTCAGGGTCCACTAGACCTTTTTTAAGAGATTACCATCCAGCTTCTGCTTGAAACTCCAGAAAAGAGAACCCAGCACTTAATGTGGCAATCACCTGTTATGCTAGCAGACTGTTTATATTATCAGGAAATTCTTTCTGATACCTAGCCTGATATATTTCCCTATAGCTTTAACTCACTGATTCTGGTCCTGTCTCTGGATAATATAGAATTAATCCACTCCCTCTTCTACGTGACAACTCTTCAGATGTTTGAAGACTAATATCATATCTCTCCTTAGCTATATATTTGGTAGCAAGCCAGATCTCATTCATGCTATACTTGTGCCTTTCATTTTTTTTTGATGGACCTAGATGTAACATTTCTTCTTATTAAATTCAGTTTATTCATTTCATTTCATGTCAGATTTAAAGTGTTAACTACCCATTCTAACTTTATATCACCTGCAGACATGATAAGCATTCACTCAACACTTTTGTCCAAGTCATTGATAAAAAATGTTGAGCAGTATAGGCCTAGAACAGAGCTCCATTGAACTCTACTTAATAACTTCTCTTCATGCTGAAGTGGAAGCATCAATGAGCACTCGCTGGGAACAATCAATTGTGTCTTCAATTGTCAATTTTGCCTTTTGGGAATTGTTTGTAATTGCTTCTTTAGAACAGTATTTTATTTTGTTGGGTTCCATACACTTCCTGAGCAGTTTTCTTTTTCCTACATGCAAGGAAAAGTATATTCATGTAAGCTATACAGCAAAATAACATACAGATAGATAACCTAATAACTGTGGTGTTTTGGATTATATCATCACATAACTCTGTAGTGTGGTCAGAGTTGCTGTTAAGTTGGGCATTAAGACTGCCTATATCTTACATGAGGTGGGCACATTTCTAATTTCGTCTTTCATATCTATGCTCCTAATTTATGAAACATAAGATTCTCTATCATGAAGGCTTGAATACTTCCCCTGTTAAGGCCTCACCTCCACTTCTGAGATGGCTAGTTTAGTTTCCATGTTACCTAATACTGCTGAATAATCTGATTTCTAATAGTCAAGATCTTTTCAGCCCTTAAACTCCATTTTTCTTTTGATGATCATCCACATTCAGTGGGAAAACAGTACCATTGGAACAGTACCATTGTTGTTATATAAGCCAGACAGCTGGCCCAGTCTGTTGCCTGTGGCTGACTTTATCTCTAGTAATACTTCAGTTCATTCTTCCACTCACATGTCACTGCCTCAGATCTCATATAATTACCATCCACACCTGTTGCCTAATGCCTTCCCACCCTTCTCTGTTCTGAAGGCTTCGGGTTTTCTGTAGGAACTCCAAGCAGCATAGAATAACTAGATTTGCCAAGGCTTTCTACAAATGAATGGTAACTAACATTGTCAAGAAGTCCCACCAAGTGCTTTTGGAACTACATATGACTTTCTATCAGCATACTTTTCCTCTAGATCAGAGGTCCCCCATCCTTTTGAGCACCAAGGACCGATTCCATGGAAAGAGATTTTTCCACGGGCCGGAGGTTGTGTGCTGCCTGCATCCTGCGGATGGGGCTTTGCTTGTTTGTACGGACTGGTTGCTGGCATGCCGAGGCCCAGTACTAGTCCACGGACTGGGGGTTGGGGACCTCTGCTCTAGATGATCACTCAAGATGCTAGATGACAATTATTGGTCATTTTCTCATGGCAGTACTAATAAAGGTTGTCATTTTTCATCTGCAGTTTCTGTAATCTGATTTCAAAGTGTTCCTTTTGGGTCCTAAAATTTCTTGCCTCATGTGCACTTCTGTCACATACCTATCTCGATGATGGGAGAGGAAAAATTTGAGACGGGAATTATTGTTTGGATTCCTGGTGAAGAGATGCAGAGTAAAATATCTAATTAATTGAAAAGGCTATTCAAGCGTAGAAAGAGTGTAGAAATCAGCTAATGATGCTCATGTTTCCAATCTATTACAACAGGTTCATTGGCAATAGCTGCACAAGCCCAGCCTGAATCTACTGATTCTTTGGAGTCTGAAGTAAAGGGATCCTGATTTGGTAATAAGGCAACTGGTAGGGTTACTACCAACAGAGAAATATAGCACCCTATGCCCAAAGTTATGGGAAGAGCTTTGAAAAATGGGAGATAAATGAAGAAGATGCAACATTGAAGTTTCTCCCTGCTGGCTCTTTGTTCTTAGGGGGACAGAGACAATTCTCCTCTGCATATCCCCTACCCATCCTTAACGGGAAACCGTGGAATGGAAAGAGTTGCTGAACAAAATGTAAGTGTTAGAAGTTCTCTCAGAATCTTCTGTTCTACTTTTTGTAGGAGATAGAAATTACTTTTTCCCAACCAAATTTCCTTGTTAGTTCCGGAAGATTTGTCCAATAAAATAATAGATGGAGATTGAGGGATATTTCTAATAGAGAAGATTATTATTGTACCTGGAAAGAATTTGTTTGGAAGATGGTGTTCCTTCTTAAAGACTCAAAAAATAATAGATGAAGAATAAACGGCTTTTCTAATATGGAAGGTTAAATTAAATCAATTTAGGGTTGAGCAAAGATGAAAATATTTGAGATACCTACATTTTCTCAAAATCAGTTTGCAAGAGATGAGTGGGAATAGCTGACCTGATATTGACATCTTTATTATCAATGTTTTTAGGAAGGAATAGGTGAAGTGATTGTAGATATCCTTTGCATGAAGAAAACAAATTTATTTAGAGAAAATTAGAATGCACAATTATAAAAAGATTATATGTATCTAAATATATCCAGGGCATATAATTCTATTGCTATTATTCTGAAAGTTTTTAATCCCAATTCTACTTCTTCATAATAAAACAAAGTATAAAATATTAGAGGAGCAAATAACATTTTCTTCCTAGTAATTACAATTCAGACATTTAAAAAATAAATTATTTGTGCTAACAACAAAAGTTACAGTTGTGGAAGTGAAATGCGATGTTAGGACCTTATATTTGCCTCAATATTAGAAATTATTTTTATTTGAATTATGAAAACTTTCAGATTCTTCTAGAATGGGATGAATTTGTGGTTCAGATTCTGTGTAGTTTGCGGGAAGTGGTGCAATTTGCAAGCCAACCCACCAAGAAATTTCTAATCCCAATCACAACAGGCTATACAAGCAGAATAGCGGGGATTAGTGTTGATGGTCTCCACCCCTCTCTTCAGTCCTATTGACATACCTTGATGCTAATTTAGACCTGTGCAGCCACTGGAAGGATGTTGCATACCTTCTTCTGAAAGACCTGTGTGTCTGTGTTGAGCAAGGGAGAGAGAGAAAAAGCAAGACAGAAATCTTAAAAACTGAATTGCCCACTTCAGTGATTTCCAAGCTGCTATTATGTTTCTAACCACGGTAATTGGCTTTACCATTTATTAATGGCTTATGCTAAAGAGACAAAAAGAGACAAAATTCAGGATTTTTTTTTTTTAGTTCTGGGCTCCATTGAGTACAAGACTGCTTGCTGACTTGGGGGATCAATTGATGTGCCGCCCTATATTTAAGAGCTTGCAGATGTTCTAAAGACTTATCTTGGGTAACCCATGAGGTGTGGAATGAATTCTTGTGTTCGGATATTTTGGTGAAAAGAATATGCTGCTGGTTGATGCATAAAAAGCAGTTTGTTAGCTCAGGTTCTTGGCATTCTCAGTGTAGATCTTAACAAAACAAAATCCAAAAAGTTAATACGTTTATGTCCTCAAAATGTGATGGAGGATTTATAAATTCTAGAAATATGCCTGAGTAGCTTAGCTTCCAAGAATATGAGAATTGTACTACAGTACATCTAAGCACAGCGTCTTAGGGATAAGTAGTTTAATGTGTGAACTGATTATATTTTATCAGAATTTCCAGATTAACAAATATTTTGATTTCTTTGAATTGATCTCTTAGATAGAAGGAGCCACAGTTTCTTCATAAATAGTTGTGAATATAATTTTTAACTTCTTTCCTGTGTATACATTACATAGCCAGTAAAATGGATGGTCAGTTCTGATCCATATAGTGCAGCGGTTCTCAACCTATGGGTCGCGACCCCATTTGGGGTCGAACAACCATTTTACGGGGGTCGCCAAACAACGCGATCCGCCATTTTTCCCCCTCAGGGGGCGCCGCCGCGCACGCGCGCCACACATGGGGGCGCCGCCGGGCACGCACGCCGCGCATGCGCAGCACGTCCATGTGACCGGGGGTCGCCGTATAAAAAGGTTGAGAACCACTGATATAGTGCTATATAATGTAGTCACTTTTTATTTTATTTTATTTTATTTTATATTTGTATTTTAGAGAGAAGGGCACTTGTATGCAAAGATCAGTAATATAGAACATATCTATAAAATTCCATCCAAATTATGTTTTGAGAAAGAACTGGTATAAAATGTTTTACTGATGATGTAAAATTCTATCAATAATAGCTAAAATAGATAAATCATGCAGCGATAAATGTTGGAAGTGCCACAAAAGAAAAGAAGAAAAGAAGAAAAATATTCTATTATAACGTGGTGGACATGTAACAACCCCCCCCCAAATATTGGAAAAATATTCACAGCACTACTCGGAGAATTTGAGGAATCAACGTTGAAATGAAACCACTTTTTAAAAAAGTAATTCATGAATGAGAGCCTGTTTGATATAGTGATTAAGGCATTAGACTAGAAGCCTGGATGCAGTGAGTTCTAGTGCTTCCACATCCACAAGATTGATAATTTTGGGTCAGTCACTTTTTGTCAGGCCTCGGAAGTTGGCAACTAGCATGTATTTATGATGGTTGCAGTGTCCTGGGGTTACGTGATCCCCTTTTGTAATTTTCTAACAGAGTCAATGGGGAAGCCAGTTTCACTTAGCAACAGTGTTACTAACTTCACAGTGTCAGTGATTCACTTAACAACTGTGTTAAGAAAGGTTGTAAAATGGGGCAAAACTCACTTAACTTTTTCACTAAGCAACAGAAATTTTGGGCTCAAGAGTAGTGGAGGACTACCTGTATTATTTTTAGGGATTTTTTTTTCTTTGTCTTCTTTTTTGACATTTATAAACAATAATATAGTGGAGATGTTGACATTAAAATTTATACTTTATATAATAAACATTTCAGTATACTCTGCATGAAATTTGTATTAATGTTACATTGAGTAATAATTGTGCAATCCCAGTCAAGATCTGTTCATTCATAAATACCTCTTTTGAAAATATATCTTTGTTTTAAATGTTATAAATACTATACAAATGTTTTTAATAAATAAAATATAAGGATTATAAGACTAAAAACAATAATTATAAAAGCATAGTTAATGCACTTCTTAAAAGTCAGAAATGCTATAGTTTTATATACAGTATCATCTATATGCTCTTTAATATTGTTAAATAAAGTTTTCTTAACTGGAAAAGGAACAAAGATAATTTTACTAATAGATTAGATTTAGAGAGTATAAATGAAGTGCAACATTGCATTTGATCTTTCCATTCCAAGCCTTCGCTGAATTCCTATGTAATTCTCCCCACCAGTACCAATATTGTTTTATTTTTTTATTTAGAAACTACCCATCTCTGAATGATGTACAAACAAAAAGGTTAAAGCATCAAAACTGAATATAAAACATTTAAAATAGAGGCAAGAATTGCCAAAATTCATTATTAAATATAAATTAAAAGGCAGGGGAGGTCCTTCAGGGTGCTCCTCTTTTAGCCCCAAGCAGCATGAAAGAGCCAGTTTTTTAGACAGTTTTGAAAGGCCAGGAGACTGGGGGTCCTTCTCACTTCTGGGGAAGAATGTCCCAAATGGAACCATGTTACAGATATTAGGATGATTCAGGTATGTGTTTGGCTGTCCAGTGTTATCAAAGCATCTTGAAATAGTTTGCTGACAGATGCTTCCCTTGTTTTAGGAAATGGATATCATATGATCATTATGGCACAGTTATGATTTTGCCTATATTAATGTTCTGCATATCAGAACTGGTATTAAAAGAACAGTTTCCCATATTCCTTATTCTAGTTCTCCCTAATCTGCTGCTCTCCAGTGATATTGGATTTCAATCCAATAAACTCAGCTAGCATGAGGGAATATACAAATTGTCCTACTTCAATGACTAGACATGGACTTCTTGAGATTTGTACTATTCTTTCTTTGTCTGTTGAACTGTCAGGCATGGAAACTCTGTGCATTGCAATTCACAAGTCTTTGGCATATTCATTTACTTATAGCACAAATATTTAATAGTGATACAAATCTAATATTCCTTGTTTTCTTCTTTAATAGTTCATTTGTGACTGGAACAGCATGCTGTGGACATAATTCACCTTTGAGAATCTGGGACTTAGGGAGGTAAGAATGGCATGAATAGGAACTAATGAAATCATTTAGTTCTTCTAAATAGAAGAAGAACTAGGAGCCCTAGTGGTGCAGTGATTAGAATGCAGTATTGCAAGCAAACTCTGCCCCAGCCTGCCTGGAGTTTGATCCTGATGGGCTCAAGGTTGGCTCAACCTTCCATCCATCCTAATATAAAATAGTAACCTTATCTATGCTTTGTGTCTTGTTTCCCTAGTTATTGGCAATGTAAATCTACAGGGTCTTCTTTTGTCTATTCTGCTTTTTGCTAAGAGTTGGCTTGTCTTCCCTTTTCTGTCAAATGATTAAATTATTAGGATACATTTCATAGCCAATAATCCATTTTATTGGCATTGTTGAACCTACATCAAGAAGTGACTTATGCCCCTAAATTTGTTCTTGCTATCATATTTGGTAACTTACTGTGGATTGTTTGCCATTTAAATATAAGGAATAAATACATGACATGTTTTCAGGGAATGATGTCTCATTCCTGAGACATAAGTACGATTCACAGAAAAACATTCTGTACACAGAAATCTTTTTGCAGAGCAGTATGCTTATAAAATTAATTGACTATAATACTGTGATACAGAATAATATCATGGTTTCTTTGCATTAAGAAGGCTTAATCTAAGTATTGCATTTAGACTATGGGAAGATGATGTTCAGTTTACTTCATATATCCAGTCTCCTTGCCCATGAACTTTTTCTGGGTTACTGCACATAGAAACAACTCTTAAAAGCAAATAGGGAGTGACTATGTCACCTTTTCTGCCTTTCCCAAGGAAGCTTCCACAGATAATAAAGCTATGTAGAAAACAGGATTACGGTAATGAACAGGCAGGATGGAGTTTGATCTTTCAATAAGGCAAAAGCCTGACTGACAGGCAAAGCTAAAGCCTGGGAGACTAGCCAATAAGATTCTTCTTACAGTGGGTGCAAATTCATGGATCCCTCCCTTTTCAGTTGTTGTAATGGAATGTAGTATACCAATGGGCAGCTCCTCTTGGGCCTCTCAAATGGGGAGGAGTGGACATTGCATAATTTAGATATAATCTATAGTTGGTCAGACATCCTCACATGAGGAATGATTACTGGTGAAAACGGGGCCTTTAGAGAAAAAGGATCAAATAGGTGTGTCTATAGCTCTCTATGCCATCCTTTTGTCTTTTTTTTTTATTTGTTACTACATTATTCTTTTTTAAACAAGGACTATTTTTATTTGGGGGTGTTTCTTTTTAGAGGACCGTTGATCTTATATTATAGAGAAAACTATGTCCATCTCTTTCTCTGTTGTTATGAGTAGCTTCAAGCATTCAGAATAATGCAACATTCACTACATTTTGCTTCTTACTCTAAAAAACATACACTGGTATGAGGTAACTGTAATTGTGTCTTTTTCTGCAATTTATTGTACAATATAAATAAAATAAAACTACATTCAAATTGACTTTTCAATCTCAAATGTTTTAGGAATATTCTCATTTTGGGACATTCCGATCATAATGCATTATTTGTGGTATAATTTAGAGCACTGAATATTATTTCTTTACAGTAGTCTTGGTCCTTGGTGATAGTGCTACCTCATTTTTCATCCTTGTTATTCAAAAAGAATGTGGATTTTTAGATTTTTTTAATCCCATCTTTATTACTTTATAAGTAATTCAAGGCAGCAACATACCTTCCTTCTCCTCCTCCTGTTTTCTCCACAAGAAGAACCCTGTGAGGCAGGTTGGGCTGAGAGAGTGACCAGCCCAGTCAGTTAATCAACATTCATGCTTAAGGCAGGACTAGAACTCACATTTATTTATTTATTTATTTATTTATGAGATTTATATACCGCTTTAAGTGCAAGCACTCTCTAAGCGGTGTACACCAGTAAGCAATCTCCTGGTTTCTAGGCCAGCACCTTAACCACTAACTATATCAAATTGGTTCAATTTGTCAGTATGCCATCAGATTTTTTTGTTTATTTTTCTCCTTTTTCTGTAACCCTCATATAATATCTTACTTGTTTCTCCTTGATATATGCCAGATACAGATCTATTTTTTACATTTTTATACCGCTCTCTCATTAGACACATTGTTATATTCCAAAATACCAGCAATATAAAATCCATTAATATCCTTCTCACAAAATCTGTATAAAATCCATTAATTCATAAAACTCAGTTGCCCCAAGTTAATAATTCAATCAAAAAAACAAATCAATGGATCATAAAATAAATCGATACAGAGCTCTCATTCAAAGCACAAAGACCAGTCTTAGATTATCATATTTTAGACATATTATAGAAAACCTAGTTCTCTGTAGAAGTCTATAATATTGGGAAAGATGGAAGAAAAAAGAGGAAGACCAGCAGCAAGGAGGATGGACTCAGTTACTATGGCACTATTGAACAGATCAGGTAAAGGATCAGATTGGATATTGGATTGTAAAATTAACCAAATTTGCAGAAATGGTGAAGCTGACAAGCTTGGTCAGAGAAAAAGTAATACTCTTCTCAAAGACTGAAAATCTTATATGGACTTTTTATTGAAAGAACAAGAAATTGAATTGATAATCTCAGGATTTGCAGATTAAGAAGAGGTTGGGGAAAAAGTTAAGAGGATATTCGATAGAGGGTAGAAGGCATAGTTGTGCTTTACTTTTTCTTATTTCTTTTTTTCTAGTTCTTATTTTATATTTTTGTTTTTATTTGTTCTGTATATTTTTACAACATTGAAAAAAATTAAATATAAAGGATCAGACTGGAGACAGATGTCCTGGAGAATATTTATCTGTGTGGTAGCTGAAAATCAGCACCAACTTAATGGCACATAATCATTGCTGATTACTAGATATCAAGTGTCTGTTTTAAATGTACAGTTTTCATGGCTTTACAAAATTTCAGTGTATTCTAGAATAAGGGTTACCACTGAGAAAACCAGCATTCCAGTATATAGATCTCTTATAAAGGCAGAATCTTGGGTCACTTTATCTGAATATTCATATAGTAAGGGCAAAATTATATAGCCAATGGTGGGATTCAGCCGGTTCAGTTTTTGTTGACTTCGTCGAACCAGCTGATGCCCTAGCCCTTTTTTGCAAGGCTCAGAACAGACTGCTGGAAGTGCATGGACACTACTTCCGGAAATCCATTCTGAGCTGGGGAGGCCTCCCTGGTTCAGAACAGACTTCCGGAAGTGGTGTCCACACAGAGAACCAGTTGTTCAGATATTTGAATCCCACCACTGCATATAGCATAAGGCAGACTCTTCAACTGTACCATATAAGTCATCTTCAAAGGTAGCTCCATTAAGAGTGCATGATAATAATCTAGTTACATGGTAATAAGGGTATAAGTTATCATGCTCATATTTTTCTAACTTAAAAGTTGGGCCACAATAGCAAAGGCTCCCCTGGCTGCAACTTTCATCTCCTATTTCAGCAAGAGCCACGAGCCACAAGGGAAGGACATCTGCTTTCAGGGGAGTAGAAATGGAGCAACCACCAGAAATAATCTTCCCAGAAGATTCAGATATTTATTGATAAATATCATTGTCATATTGCTAGGGCAGTGGTGGCGAACCTATGGCACGGGTGCCAGAGGCGGTACTCAGAGCCCTCTCTGTGGGCATGTGTGCCGTCGCCCCAGCCCCACCTCTCCCCACGGCCCCTCCTTACCAGCAGTCCCCCCCGGAGGAGAGTCACCCCCGAATGCAGCCCACGCGGAGCAATGCAGCCAAGGACATGGCAGCCGGGCAGCGGGGACAAGATTCTGCCCTCGCGCCCCATCGCACACAGTTGATGCTGTGGGGCACGGGTGGATGGTGTGGCCATCATGGCACTGCTGGGCTGCCTGGGCAATCTGCAGCAGGCCATGGAGACAGTGAGTGTCCCTGTGGATGGGTGGGATGGGGGCAGGGGATGGGGCCAGGTTTTGGGCACTCGATCTCTAAAAGGTTTACCATCACTGCTAGGGCTTAGTCTTATTTCTTTTTTCCCCATCTATTCCCTTACAACCATTAATATTTTCCAAGATTTCTACAATATTTCTAGTCCATCAGCAAACAAATGATACTTTATCCCAATTTACTTATAAAATCTGTTTAACAATCTTCCTCTAAATAGGAAGAGTTAAAACCTGTCCAGTTCAGTTGAAAGCCTCTTTAAAAAAAGGACCAACACCATCATTTTCAAGGTAGGTGGCATTGGGTCATCCCTTAGAGAAGCATTAATTACATCACAATTGCCTAAAAGGAGAGAGACAGCATGGGTCTAGTCACCAAGTGGCAATGCTCATACTGCAGAGCTTCTGTCCACTTTGTTAGTAGATTTCTTCTCTGTTCACTCAAAAGAATCCCAGGTAACAATGCAAGATACTGCCCCTCTTATCTTACATGATTCTATTCAAATGATATCGGGAACCCGAATAAATACAAGCAACTTTACTATCAGAGAAGCCTTCAAATATATTCACTTGGCCTGCAGAAACATTACCCTGTTTGTCCTTTCTTAAGAGTTTCTGAGTTACTTTGGGTGAGAATCTGAAGACTAAATAAGAGTGAAGAAATATGTTACTTTGACAGTTTGAACTTGGGCTTTGCAAATCCAAGGATCTCACAGTCAGGAACTGGGAAGAGTCTTCACAGGAGCAATATTGTTCAATACTCTTATCCTCTCCTCCTTTCAGAGGTTGACCAATGTGACATGGAGCAGCCTACCAGAAAGTCCCCAAGTCCTCTCAGAAAATCCTCAGACTCTATTGAGTGTCTGGAATAGACCATCCTAATTGCTTCATCCTTGCTGTCCTCATGTGCTCTGACCATTGGCAAAAATAAGACATTGTGATTTTTTATGTTCAGATTATATCATCCACATCAAGCATATATCCACCAATATGATTTGGGGGCAGAATGACTCAGAACAAGCTTCTGGTTGTCCTTGCCGCCCTGAATTTTGTAACATCAACTCAAATTCCTTGCTCAAAGTATGTATGTTTTAGTTC